GTCAAACTGAAAGCCAAATACAAATGAACCGGTTATTTTAAAAACCACATTCCGACATTTAAAATTAATATTACGGTTGAAACGTCCAATCCTTACATGTTAAAACTTCCTGACACATTAAATTTTCTACCAAAGATCCTAAAATTCATATTGAAAATTTGCTTGCGAAGAGAGAATTTGGGTGGCCTGCGCGTAGATAATAGGAAAATATGAAAGGACAATTTAAAAAAATACGCTGTGTGTGTGGGCCTGAATTAAATCGGCGATAATTTATACAAATATATACACGGCAATGAACCTTCGCTTTAACAAAACGTGGAAAATTTATATACTAGCTGAGCTATTATTAGCTTCACAAAAAGGACTCCGCTAAATGATTTTAATTAAACTGTTCCATATTAAATTATCATAAGGAAAATCGCTGATGACGACACGAAATTTCGAAATCGGGCACTGCCTTATTCCTACTCGAGATCTGAGAATAGCCTCGCGATTAAGATGTCCAAGTTCGTCTCCAGGGTAACGCCGTCAATATGGAGGTAACACGTTTCTCGACAAAGCTGATGTCTACGTGTACGTCCACGTGGCGTTACTACCCAAAAGGCCAACATCGACCTGCCCTCTCTGTTTCGTGAGGCCAAGAAACCTGAGGGCCACTTCGATTACATCCTATAGGAATTCAGATGAAGATATAGAAATAACTTTCGAAAACCACGTGAGAAATCGCTGAGAACACGTTATATAGCCCAGAGTAGTAAGGTAAAACCTGAGGCTCTCCTACCACATCCATCCCGAGACTATTTGTAACCGGGCCGACGAAATTGTTACTTTGATGCTGGTTACTAAAAGATAACTTTATTTTATAAACTCTGTAGTATGTATAAATAATGGCGACCGTCTGCTGTTTTACATATGACACATTCCATACGCTTCTAACTTTAAAATTCTACCGTGAAATATTCATTTTCCAGGTCAAAATTGCGTCAGATTAATTTAAACATTTTTTGAAGCGCGGAACCGAGTGCGGAATTATGGGAAATAAAAATGAATGCAGTGGTCTTTATGTTACAGAAGCGAACCGGATTAAGTGACTTTCAGACATACACACAAAGGGATAACGAGAACAGATCAGGAAAACCGTAGTCGCTTTGTGAAATAAGAAACCCTTGACTGTCTGAGAATCGATTTCAAACGCTCAGACTCCCCACAGCGAACACAAGAACGAGATTTTATCGTCGCGAAACAAGTTCTGACACTGGAGAAACAAACCAGGTTCTTTTTCCCTCCAGATGTAGACAAATATCCGCATTGAACTTATTTCAACTTTGACATTTCAGTACGTTGTAAGAATTTACCCGAATCATAACCTCCGCGATCCTAAGATCCATTTCAACATTAACCTAACATTTACATTTATACCAACGACGCGGTCTCCTATTTCAAGTGTTACGGATGTGTTGCGTTTTCATTTCTCATCTCACTGACATATCAAGAATCGGGCAGTAATTTCTCCGTCCAGCCATGTTTACCAAAATGTAAAACTTGGAATATTTGTAAATTAAAACGTGTTTAATGTAGCCTACAATAACTGAAGTACCAATGTTGGTACTTCAAATAGTTGATAACGTCTACTTTCACAATAATTAAAACTATAATTACCTCTTACGTATTCATTACGCTTTGGATTGGTGCATGTTACCAACCGTTTCCGTAAAGAACCTGGCCAATCAGGTTACTTTGTTAATACGTCTTACAACAAAACTTGCTACTTACACGAGGAGCAATCATAAAATGTATTTTCATATTCCACATCACCCCATAATATTCCAATGACGTGATTTATAACATTGTAACAATCACTTGTAGACACAGCAAGCTCTATTGGAATTGTTTTATTTTATTAAATCTGTTTATTGTTCAGTAAATCGGTCTTTTGTATAATTTTCTATTATTTGGAACAGTAGGGCACGCTTAACAGTAATTCATATTGGTTCATATTATGTATTTATTCATATCAAACAAACTTCTCCATTACGGTGATATATTTTATATTAAAATATTTGATTTACAATATAATATAAACTATTAAAATCTGGCTGAGGTTCCACACAATTCTGTTGTCATAACTGAACTACTTAATATGGCAATATTGACTCGTTTACGTGATGGACTCTACTGAATGGAGCTTTTATATTTTATTTTAAATTATATCGTTATGTTGGTAGCAGTGACAAATGATCCGGTTTGCCTAACAGCGCACCATCAGGCCAATAAAAGTGGAGGAATACAAGACAAATGTTTCACTGTACAACACAACAGTGGCGTAATGTTATGATGATGATGATTAAATTACATTAGCACTGTAGTGCGGTAGTTTTCCGTACTAGATTTCCAGAACACGATTTGCCAGTATCTGTCTCTGACTATTATTATGAAAAAGAACTGGTCAGCGAGTTATTTTCTTATGTGCTTCTTTTAAATTACGTCTCGTGCTGACAGAATTTTCAAGGTATTATAAAAAGCGCTAATTAATAAGAAGTTGTTGAGAATATTCTGGAACTAAGTCTACTGCATTCTACTATAATGGAATTAAGTTATAATTAGTTCATGTTCTTAACGCAAGAGGTGCTCCTAACGTACTTGTTGCTCGTGTCTCCCTCACTTGCCAGAGTCGAAAGGGGAACGTAAACACGGGAGGGGATAAAGGAAGAGGTGCTGCGATCTGTCGGTAATATGTTTCATGACACGTTGAGGACAGGTTTTTGGTGCATTCAGCCTGTAAATCATTTCGAGCTGCATTGTTTACTTTGCATATGTAAATTTTCTGCAAAAAAACAACAACTTTTTCGTCGATTGTAGACGGCTGAATGTACATTTATCATACTTTCGACGAAAAACTATTAATCGATAGAAGTAAAGCGGTTTATTGTGGAAATGTACACAACAAAATGTCTCAAGGACGGCAAGGAATTTGTTTAGGGTGTTCATTGTCTTTCATTCCTCTGACATGATCTAATCAGTTTTTTTTATCTATCCTAAATTGTTTTTGAATGGGTTTATGCAGAATTCTAGTTTTGTTTTCCTTTATTTCGTCTGTGGTCAATGCACGTGATAACATAAACAAATACTTCAAATTAAAAGTTCTGTATCGAAATGAAATCTATGTTCCCGGCTAGGCCACGTGTCTTATACGATTTAGCTGTTCTTGAATAAAACGCATAGTTCACTTCAAGGTCATGAAAACTTGTACTGGGCCAACACAGCCTTCGGTGTGAGGAGCACAGGTGTTCGAGCATTCCCTCGCCGCTCAAGGCCACAAACGTACTCACAAACGGAACAGACATTTTTATACTCGTGTGAGCGAGGTCTAATATAGTTCGCATATTTTGAACGCCAGCCAGCAATTCCACATCGAAATTTCACTACGGTTGAGATTTTGCTTCAGACTGTACGTCTCACAACTGTAATCTATAGAGGACTGTAACTCAGTTATCATGGGAATAGAATGGTTAACAACGGCGTGTTCAGCATTTTGAGGTCCATTAAATTCCTCACAGAGCATGGGAAATTTCGTAACTTGTTAGTACCAAGCAAATAGGCCTTTTAAGGCAAAGCATTTGATACAACTACATGTCTATTTAACTCTATTCAATATTTTATCTTTACCTATAAGAGCTATTTCGACCGTTTTGGTTACAAGTTCTTTTTAAATTATAATCCTACGAGTTTCAAGCGATATTTTCCCTTCACGTTTCCCATTCTCTCTTCACAGTTTTCGTCTTCCCAATGCGTGTTACATGTTCCCATCTAATCCTAAACTTGACATCGTAATAATATTTGGTGTCTGGGATCATAATCGCGGTTTATTCTAATAATAATATGAAACCCATTTATATAATATGTAAGAAAATTCTAGAGTTTATTGTACAAGCGGATGGTAAATATACTTTCCACTAAGATTGTAAGTACTGATTTCTGTTTACGTTTATATGCATACCTGTTTTCTCCAGCGTATTTTTCCTTTCTCCGTTTAAGTTATCAATCCCCTGATCTGCGATAGAATTATTTCTGTAGCGTATTTTTCCTTTCTCCGTTTAAGTTACCAATCCCCTGATCTGCGATGGAATTATTTCTGTAACCTACAAAATGCACTTCGTTACAAATTCTTCTGAATGTTAGATATTATCCACACATAACCTCTCAACCACACCGCTACACAAAATCCTTCACGGCGGCCATATTAAGACTGTCCTTCAGTCTTGCCGTGTGTTTGTGTGTGTAGGTTATGTATCCCTCCGCCATTAATCTGTTCCCGTCGCCACACCGAAGAAGACTGGGTCTATGTATGGGGTCGCTTGATCGAATCCTAGTCAAATCTAAACATATATTTTTCTTACATGTATTCGTAATGTTTTATCTACATTATAAATACAATTTCAGTCCCAAAGTCTTTTTTTTTATAGAAAATATTTTACCATACATCATCGTATAACCTTTTGCAAGTGGCGTTAATTTCGAACCTCATCACTCCAACGCGTGCGACTGAGCTCTTTACGGAAAACACGCGACGTGCCTGTACGTTCCGACAAGGATTGCAATTGTTTCCAGAATTGAATAGGATTTGCGTGTGTTTATTTTCAATACGTATTATTAAATATTTACAATTCTCTGTTGTTATAAATTCGCTTGCATGCTGTTGTTCACATGAACATTGTTTTTGTTTACTTGTATGATCTGTCACAAAAATATTAAAATACAATTACATTTAGAATAATGTTATGTAGATTTTTATATTTGTTTGTTTGTTTTCAGAAGAAAAAAAGCACGTTACACTTTAAACACTATCCGGGTAACAAACATGCTCAGACCTTAAGCTGATTTATATTACAAACTGCATTGGAATACAGGGAATTTAGTTTAGTTCTGTTGGTACAATTGATGTATCTAATTCAGTGAGAGAGTGGCATAACAGTTCGCTCTTCAAAGTGCATCAGAAGCGTTCTTTGAATCTATAAATAGTTCGTGCTGGTTTATTGATCCATTGTACTCATAAATACATTTAAATGCTTACAGAAATAATTCTTCGGAATCAGTTCTCTCGTGAAATGAATATGAAGATTTCTGTGATGTTAATAACTGAGGTTTTATAAAATCAAACATGGCTTGAAATACGAACTGTTTGAAAGCTAACGTCTTTACAACAAAGTCATTTGTGTGGATAAAGAAAACCATCTTAAGAAGCTGATAGCCGCTCAGCTAGACAATAAATCTGTCGTTTATAGAAACTGAAGTTTAATTACCGTCTTGAAATGAACCCGTCAAGTTTATATCAAACTAAACCTGAACTATATATAAATAAAGAAACAAATATGCATGTTGCTGTTATACAGCCAGGAACAGGTTCCCAGACCTCCTTTGATAAAACACGGTGTGTAATGTGAAGGAAGTGACGTATTCTAATTCTTAAACCTCGACCTGCGCTCTACAGGCCGTTTCACGAACGAAACGATGTCTGTATTTAGAATATTTATATACGTTCTCGGAACACAAAGCCTCTGAAAGATACAAGAGCTTATTTAACGAAGAGCTTCATCGTCTCAAAAATAATTAAAAGCCCTCTGTGTCTTAATTAAAACTTCCATTAATGATCGCGTTTACAGACTAAAAATAGCTGAGACGAAGAACAGGCTGATATTTGAAGAAGGGGCTGCCAGGCTCTTAGCACGTGTTGCGACCGAGCGCAGTGATTTATTGGTCTACTATTTCTTCCTGTAAGGACATGTTAACTGGCTCGAAGGCCATAAAACCCTAACAAGGCACTCTGCCCCCCACGCCCCAACCCTTCCATGTTCTATTACATGTTATGTTCGCTTTGGAGTTGAAGCAATGATTCAATGGGCAAAGGGATATTAAAAAATTTTACCTCGCCCTTAGTTATAAATTTGTTTCGTTGATTTTTTAATTTGGAAAATGTTGGAATTTATTAGGATAACTAAATCCACGGAGCAGTGTCTTTGAAGAACCAGTAGTTTTTCAGCTATTCATCATCGTCACTCTAAAAATTATGTTGAAAAAGTAGGATTTGAGGTTTTCACGTCGGAGTCCTAAGTCTGGTAGAAGTTTACCGAAGTTTCAGAGGTCATACTGCCTCCATCATCAGGGCGATGAGTATGAAGATTTCTGTCTTCTGGGTTGTTGGGCTGTGTAATATGGTAGAAGTTTACCGAAGTTTCAGAGGTCATACTGCCTCCATCATCAGGGCGATGAGTATGAAGATTTCTGTCTTCTGGGTTGTTACGCTGTGTAGTCTGGTCGATGTTAACCAACGTTTCAGAGGTCATACTGCCTCCGTCATCAGAGAAAATCCATCTTGACAATTCGTCTGTTATACTTCTGTTGACATCATAAAATCAATCTCTCCAGGATATGTTTCGCTGCCTCAATCGTCAGGACGATCAGATTCCTCGACCTAAAACTTATTTTTCGTCTAAACTAATCCTATTTCGAAGTATCAGATTGAAATGTCTTTATTTCTGAATATTTTTCGTGTTCATTAAAAAAATTCATGCACTGACGGTGATGACCAGCGATTCTGTCTTTCGTCTGAAAGGTCCAGTTTCTTTGCCACAAAGCTTATCATTGCATATATTCTTTTACAGTTCTAAACTGATCACGTTTTCTGGACACGCATTTTGAGATGATTAAAAATATATTTATACCAAAATAATATAGCGCAGAAACCTACAAACGATCGCAGACTTAACTATGAACCAAACTTTCTTCAAGGCCCAGATCTCTCTTCACAAATTGACAGTCATTTAATTACGCAATAAATTCTCCTATATTTGTTGAAACTGAATGTTCATTTCAGTGTTCACAAAAGTCAGCCACTGGACATCATACTTACTTATCCACCTGAATCCAGTCGAAATTCTCGAATTCTATTTCTAAAACCAATTTTATCATAATTATACCATATAATCCTAGGTCTCTCAAAGTGGTCTCTTCCCTTCAGGGTTTATGATGACAATTTACGCGGGGGGGGGCTTTATATTTATATTAATATGTCACATATAAAAATGACAAACACTACATGAATGACGAAATAACTTCAGAGGGTCCTCTTCAGTTGTACGATATCATTCAAAAATCAAGGAGAACCTCAGTTTAAAATCTATTTTTCACAAAATAATATTACGGTATTCGAATCAAGGGGGTGAGATTGGTAAAGCTGATAAATATACACAAGATTTTAGACGGAAGACGAGAAGGGTAGAGATTCTTAAGGAAACCTATAGAAAAATATTGAAGTGTATCTTCAACACGAAAAGTGTTAGAGAGAGGGAATTTTGTACATCTGACTCGTGATGTACAGAGGCGCTGTATAGAATGGAATGACTGAGAAAAAACACGAAAAGGCGTCGCGAAAACTGGTCTATAATTGCTCATAAATCAGGAAAGCTGTGGATAAAATCTTGTCCTATTTTAGCACAGACGTATTGCTACAAATAATAAAAGTCTGTCGAGGCTTGTATTAATTTTATTTCTGTTTGTTGTTAATTCGCTTTCCCCCTCCCCCCCTTGCCCACGCAAAGTGCAGTTTCTGCCTTTTTACAGACGTGCTAAAGTCCATTACACTCACGTTTCAGTTACGCCATCATAATGAAATAAGACATCGAAACTCTAATAAAACGTGGTTAAGTGTTGTTCTATGTCCCGACTGTTAAAGGTTACAATCCGTTGTTACAACAGTTTTTATGACAAAAGACCACTATTCTGGTAGCAATAATAGCTTTCATTCAGCGTCATATAAACTTTCGTAAGTTATATTCATACCCTAGCCCAGAAATCAACAATTATTTACGTATTCTTAAGAAATATCACGCCCTGTTTCCACGTTTGCCAACTTTACATTCCTGTGTCAGTAACATCGATATCGCGACATAACCTCAAAATTTGACAAAATCTGTGCGGCAGTTTTTCACCCCCCCCAGAACAATGCAACGCATATTAATATTTGTTGTTAAATGTTTATACCATAAAGTACACGTTCTACACGAGACATTTTTTTAAATACAGTAAATTACCCGTTAAAAATAACGATAAAATATATAATAATAATTTAAAATACGCTTTTCATGGAAAGTTAAAGAAAGCAATATATAAATTTTAAAATAATTAGTTATTTTTCTCAATTGAAGAATAAAATACGATTTAATGTTGTGAAAATAGCGATTTCAAGAAATAGTCACCAACCAATCAACAGTTTTTTTTATAATATATTAGCCTACAAACATGGCGACGGTGCGAAACTTAGAGGTCAAACAGAGAAACGTTACCTCATATACACCTAAGGCGTTACTTTATTCTGCGTAATGTACTTGTATCCTTTGTACAGGTTTCAAACTTAATCTCTAGAAGGCGTTTTGAGTCAGAATAAAATTCTGAGAATAGTTTTTGAACTAGCAAAGGAATAACAAGACGTTTGAGAAAATTACTTAACGAGAATATTCATAATTCGCGTAAAAATTATTATATTATAATAACAGTCTGGAAGAACACACATCCTTCACTTTGCACCCTGAAGACAGAAGCAATACATTCCTCCGAAACATTGCTAACTAACTGATTTAATACATGACGTCACAACTCAGAATACCACAAGGAAAAATATGATTAACACTACAAAATAAAAAACGATGAGTTGAGTAAAACATGTAGCACGCATGAAAACTTTGTTACAGGAACTAAAGGGGAAAGACCACTTGGTAAACGAAAGTGTAGGTGGGAGGATAATATTAAAATGGATCTTACAGAAACGGGATAGTGGAATGTGAAATGAATTAATCTGGATGGGGATAGGGGTTCTACTCAAGATAAACAGTTCCCCATATAGTTATTTAATTATATACACCTGAGGATGGTTCTTTTAGGAACTGAAATATGTCGTGAAACATGAAAAATGGTGGTCTAATGTAAATCGAATATTTCGATAAAGAACATCATTTAATATTTTAAATGTTAATTATTGTAATATTTAATAAGATTTTATTGTGATTAGACGGACAATATTTAATATACACTTAAAGAGATTTGAAAGTAACAAACTGTAAATTTCAGCGAATCAATCGCAACTTGAGTAGTTCAACGACAGTTTTCAAACGTCAAAGGATAAGCTGAGTTTGGACGATGAATTCTAAAGGAAACGGAAATAATTCTGGGCCATCTTAAAGATACTTCACCAACATCTGACTTAATAGGCTAAAAGAAAGAAATTTCGCAAAATTTCGGTCAGAAGATCCATTTTATAAATCGAATTTCGAACCTGGACTTTATTTCAGAGTGCAGAGCATCAGACTAGCTGCATTGAAAACCATTACCAGCTGAAATACGTATTTCTCTGTACACGGAAAATCCATGCACCGTGCGAAGCCTAGCAGGCGCGAGTGCTCATGGGAGAACAAACACGTGACACTACAGACGCATTTATGGCGAGGCGAACTTTTGTGTTGGGTTCCATGACGCGGGAAATTTTTTTTTGATCAGTTCAGTAACTGCAAACTGCTCAATGGAAACCCAGAACCACGGTATTTGTTATAAAACCTGACGCGATGATTCCATTACGTCATTTGCTGATGATAATTATCATGTGTTTCAGCTGGTGGACGATGACGGCTCCATTGAGACTGCCCTCATCAACTACCTGTTCGCTAAGCAAGTGGTTAATCGCCTCCGAAGCCAGATGGACGTGTCCGACCTGCAGAGGAAACGCAGTTACTGGAAGCAGTGCGCATTCAACGCTGTCAGTTGTTTCGGAAAGTAAACAGTTGCGCATCAGACGCACAACTAACTCCATCCAGTTTATTTTCTTCCTTAGCAAGGCAAAAACAATCTCTACGTCACTTCATTAAGCTCAGATTAGAATTTTACTGTCTAATCCTTTATCGTAAATCGTTACCCTTCCTTGGTGTCCTAACCTAACCTAACTTAACCTAACCTAACC